ACTGCCTGGGGAGTTCAGGATTGGTGGTAACTCATCTGGCAAATTTAGTTCATCAAAAAAGTCCTTTCTTCTCTGAAGTTCGGGTTCTTAGAGTTCTATCAAAGGGTTTCAACATACCCTTTTCCCCCCTCTACCATTTCCTTCCTTCTCCTCAGGATCCCTAGTCATGTCAGTGTCTGTCTGAGGAAGTACTTGACCTCCTCACCCAACAGGTTGTTGTACCTGCTCCTTGTGGGTCATGTGGGTTTTATTCCCACTAGTTTGCCTGTTGTGGGGTGGTATACCTTTTTAGCTCCCTGCCCTTCGGTCTGGCTTCCGCACTATATGTTTTTATTGAATGGTTTTACCCTTTGCTCAGCATATTCATAGCCTGTGGCTGAACTTCCACTTGTACATGGATGACTGGCTTCTTCTTGCCCATTATGAATGGGAGTCAGCCAGTCCTACTCGTCAGCTCCTTCTTGAAACTATGCAGTTGGGATGGTTGATCACATTGAAGGGGTCCTCCCTTCATCCTACCTAATACCATGTACATCTGGGTGTTTTCCTCAACACCCATCTCGGTCAGGCCCAACCTTCTCCTCTTCAGCTCCATTCTGTGGAATTGGTCATTCAAACAGCCGTGTGCTCCCTTACTTACCTACTATTGGCAAGGTTCTATCGTTTTTGGGGAGGTTGTTATCTCTGACACCTATCCTACCCCTTGGCAGAGCTCCTATGCATTTGCTTCAGTGGGCCCTTCATGACCAGTGGAACCTTGCATTGGATCCCTTGGATGCTCCTATTCACCTTCCTTTCTCCTTGATAGATGATCTCCATTGGTGGTTGGACAAGACCCATACTTCAGCAGATGTCCTGCTTCCTTCTCTGCAGCCATAGTTTTTCACTGATGCATCCCTTCATGGCTGGGGGGCATGGGTCGATCACCAAGAGGTTTTGGATTGTTGGTCTGTCTAAGAACATTCTCTTCACATCAATGTCCTGTAACTTCTGGCTGTCTGTTGGGCATTGGATCATTTTCTTTCTATCAACAGTGGCTGCCTGGTTATGATCCATTCCAACAATTCTACATTGGTGGCTTATATTAGTCACCAAGGCAGGACCCAGCCGAGATCTTTGTGTTTTGCACGTTGGATCTTCTCTGTTGGACCCACTCCTATCACACATATTCCAGGTGCATTCAAGCTGGTAGCAAATTGTCTTTCCCGACTGGAACAGGTTTATCCTACAAAGTGGTCCCTACATCCTGCTGCCATCGTTTGGGTACTCCCCATATTGATGCATTTACCACCACCTTCAATCACATATCTCAATTTTGGTCCCTGGTTCACCAGCCTAGGGCTTTGGCAATAGATGCCTTCAGCCAAGATTGGTCCCTCCTATCTAATTACTTCATTGGTTAGTCTCCCTTATCCATGCCACTCCATGCATAGTCCTTCTGATTGCTCCTTACTGGCCAATCAACCTGGTTCCCTCAGTTGCTTTGGCTCCAGGTGATCCTTCTTATCCCTCTCTCCTTATCTCCAGACCTGTTACATCAACCCTAGTCATCGAGTCTACATCCTGCACTTCCTATCGTCCATCTTCATGCCTGGCTTTTGTTTGGTCCCTAGAGAGGAGTTCCAGATCCTCTTGCCAAGTAGCTTCTTATTTAGCCCATTTCTTTCATCCTTCTTCCTTGGCTGTTTACTGACAGAAGTGGAGTGTTTTTTACTCCTGAGCTTTGGTTCGGAGTTTCCTGGCTTCTTGGCCTACAGTTGCCTCGTTTTTGAGTTGCCTTATCCCATACCTTCCATTTTTTCCCATTTCTGCAGGGTCCTTTCCATGTTGATCTGTTATTTCTGGCTTCGTTGGCTGCTGAGACATCTATCACTTCCGTACTGGGTCATTAATGTGGTCCTCCATGCCCTTACTTTACCTACGTTCTGACCCATTTCTTCCTGTTCCTTGTTTCACCTCTCCCTTAAGGCATATTTCATCCTCATCTTGGCTTGTAGGTGTCATGGGTCAGATATTTTTGCTTTTGACTTCACTAGGACCTTGTATCATTCAACCTACCTTATCCATTATCCAGATTGTGCATTCCTTCCCCAGACCTCAGTGGCTCACAAGGGTCATTCCTCCTTTTACCCTTCCCTCCATCTCTCATATCTACCCTCATCCTGATCCGGATAGCCTCCTCTGCCC